AGGAATTTGGTTCCATATGTTAACAGATACTTGAAAACTGCCCTTTCAGAGAGAATTTCAACTCCTGCTAGGACACGGCAGGCAGGCAGTATACAAATCTCATCCTCATCGAGATTTCAAAGTGCCACTCATGTAGTATCCTAAAATGTCAATAAAAGACTCTTTATTCATAAATAACTGATATGCAGTAATTTACGTCTGTACATTTATCTTGAAAAGTCTGTAACCATCCAGTTTTGTATTTTTTTTTTTTTTTGCAAACTCTACATAAAACATCCAAACTGTCCATTTTGTTCAATACAATATAACACAGCTGTTTGGCATTACCAAATATATATGTATATATATTTATAGATATGTACATGTGCTGAAAAAGAAGCCAGTGCAGCCTTTTCTAAGAAGTCCATCCAAGTATTTACTATACAACATTCAGAATTTACATTGATAATACAAGGCACAAAAAGTGTGGTATGAAGCCAAGGCCATGCTCCATTCAACCTCTCTCCTCTGGCTTGCTCACTCCTTCAGCTTCATGTCAAATTAAGTGTTCAGCCCTGCTTTATATTTTACTTTAATTTTTGGCTTTGAACACATCAAATAAAAGTTGAGAGTGATATGGGTTTGAGATATGAATCACTTGAAAGAACACCCCACGCACCTTCCCAAAATAAACAGAACAAAATGAATCTGTCTTAAAATTCATCCATGCAGAAATGGAGGTACGAAAGTCCTCATATGTTTTTGAGTCTGGGTCAGAAGAATGAGCCAGTTTTCCTCTAAATGCTGAGGGTGGCAACGTTTCTAGGTTGAGACTTCCTGGAGTGCATGTACCAATCAGACATGATTATGAAGAATGGGTAATTCTGAGTCTTTATTCCAGTTCGGAAAAGGAGAACATTGTTTTTCCAACCAGAAAGTTCCCAGATTCTGAGTGCTTTCCCACCTTTGTATAGAAAAGTTTTGAAAGGGAGTGACCTATATGATCTAGGATAAGCCTTGGAGGGTGTTTCTGATTGAAAGTTCTCAGTTACCCTCTGCTGAGGCTTATGTTCCTGACACCTGGCACAGGGTGTGTGCTCTCTCTCAGCATCATCGGAACTAGCTAATGGAAGAATATGGGAATTATTAGATCTATTTCTGATTGTAATGTCTGTGTTTCAGTAATGGGGTCATAAAGCGTGATACTCTGCTGACAAAATCCCCTCAAATATCACCTCTCCTTTCTACAGTTCACCAGAACCACAGTTAAATCTCCACCTACAGATATTAAAATTTAAGAGAATTATATAATTTGGCCAATTTGGGGATTTTAGTGTAAACAGTGCTTGAAATTAGTGAAATACTTTTTAGGGTTACCAAAGCTGGAGGCAAAAGGGCATTTTCATTGTAATCATGCCTTTTGTGAAAGTATTTTGACATACCTTCCCCTTCATGCAAAGAACTGTCTTACCGAATTTAGTAATACAGTCTATCATTCAAAGCCATAACTTTTTTGAAAAATAATATGGGGCCCTGCTGAACTCATCATTAGTATGGGGAAGGGAATTTTTATACTTGGGTGTAATCATGAAGCTTACTACCTTTTTTGTCTTTGGGTCAGATGGAGGGCGGGTGCTAGGACATGAAGTTTAAATGTTACTGCCTTAAGTCCACCTCATGAGGACGTTCCAAATCCATGATCTTCACAGCAAAAGGAAAAAGCAATGAGTAGCTGCTTCAAAAACCACAATTATTCTAGTGAGTTAAATTTCCTACTTCAGATCACGGTACTACACACTAGTGACTAACAGCCAGGTCTGGTTTCCATCCCCTGCTATTTTTTGAAGAATTATAGTGTACAAGTTGCCATTTTAGATGTTACAAATGACCCTGGAGTGGGGATGTGAGGAGTTCATGGTAGACACTGGCTCTCCTAGAATTGCTTTTGCAAAAACACCACATGCTGTCAATACAGCCAAACAGCTTTGTAACGGCAGCTTTCGGAATAGTTTGGAACGTAAAAACACAAAATATGCAACACGTCTAAGATTAGCAACATTTTCACTTTTGTGACATTGGACAAAATACATTTTTGCTTGTAGTTCAGGAAAATTCTATGCAGACAAAACAGTGGAAAATACAGAAACGGTGGCCATTCAGCTTTTTGCTAAAGCATCGATTTTAAAATACAGCGCTACAGCAAGTAACACCAAAGGCAAATACAATTGTGTCATCCTCTGTAGGCCAACATTTTGCTCTCCCATTTGCTGTGGCCATCACCTCTAGTCCAGTCAATGAGGGTTACTGAGGATTCAAACTCTGCGGTGTTTCATGAGGAAACAATGACAATGGGCCACACACAGTAGGCCGGAGTGGAAGATTTCTCAGCTCCTTCACGATTCCTGTGACCTCTACAGAGCTGGAACAAACCTCTGCGAGGACTTTGCCTTCAACACATCTGATAGCTATATCACTCAATACATTTACAGAGGGTAGAAGGACTAAGAAATTGAAGGGAAAATGGCTAAAAGAAAACAAAAGCATATTAAGAGATTTTTATAACATTTTAAAATTCACAGGTATGTTTGCCAGAAGTTTGGCAAGTAGAAAACTCTATCTAAAACCAATGATCCTATTTTAATCATCTGTATTTGCTTATCAATCCTAATGCTGAGAATGTTTGTCAAGGAAAATAGTTACAATAAATCCAGAACTTTTAATGCAAAGAGAACCCTGTTTTAGTGATTTGACTTAATATCCCCTCCCAAAGATAATTGAAAGAAAAATACAGACACCTCGGCAGAAGACACCACCTGGAGATAAAAATAAGAAGAAGAAAAGTTCTCTTTAAAGAGAACTGTGTCAATTCTTTTTCATCTCTTACAAAAAGGCCAATAAAATTTTTGTGGGAGTACATCTGAGTTTTATGAGACTTCTTGCACTGGTAAATGAAGTTTGCATTTAAATCCATAGAGCAAGCTTCTTTTGGCTTAAAGGATTTTAATGTAAACCAGTAAGACTGTACAAGCATGTTGTAAAAACTGTAAATTAACTTTATGATGCTACAGTCTGGTGAAGCTGTGAAGTGCACCATTTTGGTGGCATAATTTAAAGCTATATTTAAAGTATGACTATTAGACTTAAATGCCTTTGAGGATTGAAAGATTTGACATAGAGTGGGATAATTTTTGCAAAAAAAAAAATAAGTAACTTACCTAATACTCAAGGCCACTTTTAATTTTGCTTCATTCTGCAACAGAATAAAACTTCCAAATTAAGTATTTGGATAGATAAATAAATCTCTTTGAAGAGGGGCATTTGTGTGGTAGTGAACAAATATTACAATAGGACTAAATTTAGGTCACAGTGAATAAATGTAAGTTCAAGTGTAACCTAACTTTTTATCTGATCTGCAATTCCACCTCCTCCCCACACCTTGGTGTGTAAATCTCACAAACATAAGGTTCTCTTTGAAATTCCATTATAAAAGTGCTGTACAATCCTGACATGCAGCGACCACAGAATTTCTTACATTTCTATAGAAATCCTATGTAGGATCCTAGCAGAAATAAGTAGAAGAGAAAAACATAAAGAAGAAACAAAATGGGCTGAAGGATGAATTTGATTGAACCTTAAGGCTGAAGTCTGAGGTGAATCATGTTAACTTCTTCCTTTGTTAACCTATATGATATGATGTTCAAGTGTGTTTATAAAACCCAGGCCAAAGGAAAAAAAAAAATCCATGGGAGGGAACTCCCGATTCAGGATTGACAACAATCTCATCTCATCTTAAAATAATTTAGGCAGATTTGAGGGAAAATCATTTAGAATTTTCATCTGTTTACAAATATTTAAAACATATCAAACATCTAAAGACCTGTATAGATTCACAGAATAGATGAAATAATTACAACATCAATTAGAAGGGAAGAAGGAAAATGCTTAGGATGGTCTAAAACAAAAATCCTCCAAGATGGATTCTAACACAACCTCTATAATGTGCTTTCTCCAAGTTTTGACTCAGCAATTAATGCATATTTCTTCTGCACGCCACCCCATGCCAACCAACTTTAGCTTATTGTGACTGGTTGACCATCTACTTCTCTTTCTTTTTCAGAAATTATATCAGTGATGTCAGATGATTTACATTTTCATTCTGTTTCTCTATTGTTTCCTAGAAGAAACAAATAAGTTAAGCAAACTAGCGAAATGATGTTTTTCTGATCTTGATATGGTATTGTGAAAATATGCTTGACAGTTCTAAGATGATTTCTTTGTTTTACATAATAAGCCTTTGGTTCCTGAGAAAAGCGTGATGCTTTTGAATTACATGTAGCAAAGCCTTCTATCTAATACAGGGGACCACATATACCACACATTAGTTAGAGAAAATGGCCAACACATTCAAGAGTTATTCCATGCCTTATCCATGGTATCACAAATTCAACCCATCTTTAGGCCTTTTTCACTTGCGTGGAGATTCGCAAAATTATTATTTTTTTTTTTACAAGGGATCTACAAAAACATTATTGAAAAATATGGATCATATCCCAACTGATATGAAAGTACTCCCTACTTTCCCCATTCCCTGACCACTTTTTATTCTAATGTAACCAGCCTCAAAGTAGCTGACTAGCTGTCTTGTGGTTCATTTGGGTCCTTGACTTTGGTTGTCCTGATTGTGGAAAGCAAATTACAATATCCACCAGAAGACGAACAAGAGCAAATCTGTTCATCTTTAGTCTACCAGGACATCTTGTCAAAAATGATTTAATACGATAAAAAGACGAAGTAAAGTGATAAGATGAGGATCATGAATTATCTGTGGATTTCAATCCTCCACAATATCAGTGCCACCTCATGTAAAAAAAAAAAAAAAAAAAAAAAAAAAGTCATAGAGCAATAGACTATTCAGCCTCCCTGAATATGCTTTCTGTAGGGAAAAGCATATTCCATAGAGAAAGCATATTCAGGGGACTGAATAGTCACAGCGTGAAGGCTACCTAAACAATGTATGTGGTTTCAGGGACACTGTGGTAGAGGTATTCCTCAAGTATATTTACTCAAATATTGTTTTGAGCAAAGACTGTCTACAAATTTCCCAAGAGGCAAAATGAGGATCACATGTAGTCTTATTGAGAGATTATGTGATGACATCGTACCAACACATTACACAATATCAAGAATCTGGATTGAAAAATACAGTAAAACCCATTTTCTTGTGATAACAATGTTAGAGAACTAGATCAAAACATGCCTCCTATAATTATAGCTGATCTGAGGCCTACGACATCTGCAGTTCATGTGTTTTTGAACCTGCTTTAATCTCTCCTGTCTCCATATCCATGGAATAAGCTGTGTTCTAATAGCACTCAGCAATTTGAGTGGCTTAGAAGGGAACAGAGGTGGTCCCACTTTTTTGGGTTAGAAAAAACAACTTTCCATATTGACAAGTTTAATGATGCTCCTTGATACCTCTCTACTGCAAGGGCTAAGGCAGAGGAAGAAAGAATAAGGGTACATTTGTCTCAGGAAGAAATAAAAAGGTGGAGTACTCTAGTTTGTGGTCTGTCTTACCTCTCCATTGTGTCTCCATTAAGTGGCTAGAAGAGAAGGGAGCTGGTGCTGGTATGATATGCTCAGATTCTAAATTCTAAATGCCCTCCTTGACATTGTTGAAGTCATACATGTGGGTTGGCAACCTGTTTTGCTTCTAAAAGACAATTTTACAATGATTTCTGATTATCACAGATGCCAGTTGGTAGAAAACTCTGACAGTCTACTACCAGAATCAGCTGGTCCTTTGGGCACATCATTGGAAACCTGTTTTAAAACTGCCTTCCCAGCATTATTGTAGCTCATCTTTTCCCACAACTACTTCTGCCCTCACTTTTATCCTTGCCACTCCAAATGTGAAGAATTAACCCAAATGTGGATTCCGAGGAGACAGTAGAGCCCTCTTCTATGTACGAGAGCTCGTACTTTTTCCTATTAACATGTTTTACTTATACAAAAAATTTAGTTTCTTCACCCAGGGAATCTGATTGTAAATGAAGGCTGAATTTCCCCAATGCCACTGGGCAGAAAGCGGCCTCTTTCTTTCCCATTTAAAGCAAATGTCCCCAAGCTGGCCATCACTCTGTTTCATGGGAGGAAATGGACTAGAGTCCATTTTGCCTGCTGTAGTTGAAGTCGGCTTCATCAAGCTGGGATTCCGAAATGTTTGAGAGTTTCGTGTGTGTCCTCCCAATCTCTTCAAGGGCACAGGCCAGGGAGTCAAGGTCACCATCGTGCTGATGACGAGCCTCCCACAGGTTCAAAATGACAGCAGATGGGCTACTTTGTGTAGCGAAATAAGATAAATTCCTAGATGGAGAGAGTTAAAAAGAAGAACAAAACAAAATATGAAAATAAAGGAATAAACTCCAATAAGAGCATTAAAAATATATGTTAATAGATATTATTACAGTAGGGGTAAAAAGCTATACTAAGGCAGGTCTGGGGCAGTCTAGTTTGTATCCTAGCACTCAACTGAAACTGTACTATGAAATATTAACAACAACGTTATCATCTCCCAAGATTTGTTTTGTCTTTAGAGACAGGGTCTTGCTCTGTCACCCAGGCTGGAGTGCAATGGCATGATCATAGCTCACTGCAGCCTTGGCCTCCTGGGCTTAAGTTATCCTGCTGACTCAACCTCCCAAAATGTTGGGATTACAGGCATGCGAAACTATGTTTGCCCACAAGTCTTTTGAGTCCTCACCTTCCTTGAACTCTTTGTGTTTGTGTGTGTTTTCTTCTTGACCATTCCCTTGACATGCTCTATTTCATTGGTTTATGTCATACTTTCACTCATTCCTATTTTTTTCCAAGTATCTGACCTGTCTCTACTTAGACAAACATAAAGCCTTTCAAGTTTTTATCTTTGATTTCTTGTTCTTTCCTTCCTCAGTGGGCTTATATACTAAGTGGAGTAGTTATCAAACCAAGTAGATAGTATTCTAAATGTGTACCTCCAATGTTTAAGTTAGTGTGAACTAATAATGGATCTCCAAATGACCTTGGGGTTGCTCCAATTACAGATTCCTTCACCTTTACAAATGCAATGCATCAGAAACTGGTATCTCCATGCCTCCTAACGGGTCTTCTTTCTAACTAGAACAAGTATCCCAGTATTTATAGCTGTCTTTTTAATCTCTCACACTAGACCATCTGTTTTCAATTCTTCCTTTTATATTTTTTTCTTTTTAACCTACTCATCAGCTTCTTTGTTGCTCTCCATGTTTACTACTTATACCTAATTTATACTCTATCACTTTATGGTCTAAATCACACAAAATCTTTAGAGTTTTTGCAAACTCGGATATACCCTGCATTCTATTTCCTCAATCATGAAATACCTACTCTAGTTGTCTTCAGTGACTTCCTTGGTCTGGCCTTGATCTACCTATGGATATGAATAGCCATAGCTAGATATGGATATCCCTATTCATTACATATATGTGTGCATATATATAAAATATTACATATATCTATTATAGCTATTATGGATATATGTATTATATATTATGGATATATATATATTTTTTCTTTTTTTTTTCTTCCACACAGTCGTCTTTTGCTCTTTGAGCCACTGACCCTGACTTAGGTAACATTTTACTTCTGCTTTTCATTTATTCTGTTCACTAGGAAGGTCTACTTTCTCCCTTTAGCCTGTTTATCAAGATCATATGCCCCCACAAATTGACAAGTTGAATTATGCTCCTCGATACCTCTCTACTGCAAGGAGTAAAGAGGAGGAGGAAGGAACAAGCATAGATTTGTCTCAGGAAAAAATGACTCAATTTTTTTGTGTGTGTCCCCATGGTTCAAAATCCCAATGGTTTTTGGCTGTTTCCAATGGTTCAATTCTCATTTATTCTCTTCTCTGAACTCTTTTTATGCTTGTACTTAACTTTCATGTGAATAAAATGCTTATCTATTGTGTGTGTGTGTGTGTGTGTGTGTGTGCATGAACTCTGCCTTCCCAATTTGACAAGAACATCTGAAGGGCAAGGATAGTATCTATTAATTTTCTGAATCTGCTACCACACTTTTGATAATACAGTGACAGGTGTTTATTCAACAATCTTCAGCCAAGTAATTGATTCCTACAATTCTTTTCAATAACATGGTATCTTCAGTAAAAGCACGGTAACCTTTAGGACAGTAACTTTGCTATGACGAAGACAAAGACAACACAAAAGATTAAAGGTCACTGTTTTTCATAGGGACTTTTACAGTAAGGATAGAAATGTCATCTCTGGTAAAATTCTGATGAGTTGAAAAGGTTTTCCAGAGCCAGCCAAATATTTCCTATCTTGAAGATGGTATTACTTTCTCTCACCATGCCCAGCTTATGGTCACAAATAGGATTGATGTAGACCAGAACACTCAGATGACAGACAAGCTTTTAAGGACATGTTGCCTTTTACAGGAGCCACAGATGCATGCACACAACACAGAGTGAAAAAAGTGCTGTTTTATTCAAAGGTCTTAAGATCCCGTTTACAGTCAGTTGGTTGCCAAATAGCACTACTGGGTCAGTTCTACTAATAGACATCTTTAATTGTGAAATAGAGAAGCCCAGCTTAAAAACATTCTTGGTAGTTTGTCTTTTATCTTTTCTTTTCTTCTTCCTTTCCTTCCTCCTCTTGTTTTTCTTTGATGGTTATTCATTTCTATACTAATAGAAATGGCAAAGCAAACCTTGCTTAAGTAGTTGAAGAGATTTTAGTTCCTCTTATTTAAGAAATTTGTATTGGCTGAGTGTGGTGGCTCAAGCCTGTAATGTTAGCATTTGGGAAGATGCAGGTGGGAGAATCACTTGATGCCAGGACAAACCTGGAAAACAAAGCAAGACCTCTCTCCACAAAAATAAAATAAATTAGCCAGGGTGCGGTAGTGAATATCTGTAGTCCCAGATACTCAGGAGATTCACTTAAGCCCAGGAGTTCAAAACTGCAGTGGGCTATGATTGCACCACTGCATTCCAGGCTGGGCAGCAGAGTGAGACCCTGTCCCAAAAAAACAAAACAAAAACAAACAAACAAAAACTTCGTTTTGAATATTGGCACTTCTTCCTTGATATGTAGAGATGTTTATAAGGAAAGTTGCAATATCTTCCTACAAACACTGTCACCAAAAAACAGGTAGAAATGCAAACTGAAGGAACAGCTGGGAGAGAGGCAAACTGAGAGATAAGGCCTGAGTTGACTCCGGGTGGCCTGTGTGACAGTCTTATTTTATGTTCATTTTAAGAATGATGACCATGAAGGTTCTTTTGTTTCTAGCATGGGTAAATGATCCTTTATGATCTCTATTATTGTTTCAAAAACAACAGCTATAACAAAAAAGCAGCGGTACTTTCTCCTAATTTTATTAAGGATTTCTATTTACATTTTGTATTTGCTGTTGAACAACAATGAACTTTTGCCTTATGGGAATGACTAGAATCTTTGTGATCCTACTTACCTTAAGAGTTAACACTCTATTCTGTACCAGGTGTTGATAAACTTTCTCTGTAAATGAACAGATAGTGAATGCTTTTGGTTTTGGGGGCCACATATGGTCTGTGTTGCTGCTACTCTACTCTGCCTTGGTATTGCAAAAACAGACAGAAGCAACACGTTAAGTGAATGACTGTGGCTGTGTCCCAATAAAACTTTATGTGGCACACCGATATCTGATTGTCACACAGTTTTCATGTGTGGCACACAATATTACTCTTGATTTTTTTTTTCTGGCCATTTAAAAATACGAAAACCATCCTTAGCTCATGGGCTTCATATAAGCAGACGGTGGGCCAGATGTGGCCTGCAGGCTGCCATGCTGACCTCACTCCTCCACTGTCTTATAACCCAAAGTAGATTTCCATAGCTAGTAGTGATTTGAAAGATCAGGCTGATCTTCCTGCATTTGAAAATACACAACTAGATGGCCAAAGTTGCTGAATTTCTACCTCTATGTCCTGCCTCAGGCGCTCTGAGAACTTTATTCTTCGTAAATGTTTGGAGATATTTGACATTTCAAGACATGACAGGAACACCAGGGCATTAAAAACTCAATGACAGAACCTTTAGAGAGGCATAAAAAGTAGGTTTTGAGGCTTCTAATGAATCATTGTCTCAATACAATATTAAAAATGTTCATGAGTACACCTGCCTTGAGGAAGAGAAGGGTGGGAGAAGGACTCCTGCCAGTCACATGGTTCTGAAAAGTCCTGCAAATGTCCTGGTTTATGGAATAAGCACCCAGGGCTAAAGGAAGCTAAATGATCAAAAGAGGCAGAAACATAACTCGCTTGGCACAGCTCTCTGAACATACTGCAGCAAGTGACATGTGCTCCTAAAGCAAGTTTCAGATTTATTCTTTGAATTTGCACAAGCACATTCAGCACAACATAAACAAATCTCAAATTCCACTTAATTTTAATACATACATAGAAGAATGTGTTGACTTTATTAAAAATAGTAGAATCAGTTTTTCAGTTAACACATTCTATTGTGAGAAAACATGTTAAATGGTCCATTTTCAAGGTATAAATCTAAGCACTACGAATGTAACAGGCCACACAGCTCATGCACCAGAAGGTCACAATAAGTGAACAGAATGTAGAGGAGGGCTCACTCATAAAAGGGAAGACAGTTTCATTATTAGGAAGTCAAAACTTAGGGAAGGTGACAGGGTATAACCTTATGAGGTAAAAATGAAACTTCGGTGACGCCAGGAAGATTGTTACCCCACAGTACTCGACCGGTGAGGAACTGGAGCAGACACTTGGGTGCTAGGAGATAAATTACCTGTTGTAGCTGCCCTGAGTATGCCTGCCTACCAGACAGCTGATCCCGCAAGGCCGTTATTAAAAGTCTCACTTTTGCTGTTCTTCCTGCCTCTGAGTCTATTCTTTGAGTTTGGACAGGTGAGCATGTTTCTCACACTATTAAATTACATTTATTTGTTAACAATAGAATAATATACAGGCTGGGCATGGTGGCTCATGCCTATAATCCCGGCACTTTGGGAAGCCGAGGCAGGACGATCACCTGAGGTCAGGAGTTCAAGACCAGCATGGCCAACATGGTGAAACCTCTGTCTGTACTAAACATTCACAGATTAGCTGGGTGTGGTGGCAGGCACCTGTAATCCTAGCTACTTGGGAGGCTAAAGCACAAGAATTGCTTGAACCCAGGAGGCAGAGGTTGCAGTGACCCAAGATCGCACCTGGATGGCAGAGTGAGACTCTATCTAAAAAACTAATAATATATATTAAAAAAAAAAACCCCTCTAAAATTTCAATGCAATAGGCTATTTCTCAAAGATAGCTG